AAAAAAAAGAAGCTTTTTTTTGGTCTTGCAGTAAAAGTTGACACAGAAGCAATGAGTGATTTACAAGTGGCTTCTTCAAAAGAATTCCCAACAGAGATTACAGAGAAATATCATTTCAGCAACAATAACAGAAGACAACGGAATAGAGGGAGTGCAGAAAGCCTAATCTGCAACACGTTATATATATATATAAAAATACATCAGGCTTTTTAACGATGGCGTTCTTCTCTTTTTTTATGAGCCCTGAAAATAAAGTACACGTTCCTTTAAAACTGTTTGAGAAAGTTAGATTAGTTTCTTTGCGGACATTTTAAAAGAAGCTCATTTTTAAGCTGATGTAAATTTCGCAATATTAATGCTATATATTTCTTGACTAAAAAAAAAGCAACATTGTAGTAGAAACGAGAAAACAAAAAAGAAAATCGCTTTAAATGTTGCATATTCAGGAACATTCAGGAACAGTTCCATTTCCTACTAGCAAAGGTATCTTTTTTTTTTCTACAGTCGTAGTTATTTACCATGATAACGGTATTCTGAAATAAATTCTAAAATTCTTATAGCTTGAAGTGAAGAGCTAAAATATTAAGTTAATATCTGAGCAATTTGCGGTAATAATGAAGCCTAATTAGGTTGTTAGAAAGATAAAATGTTATTTAACAAAACACCTGATGGGATAATTTGACTTGCTGTGTTTTACTACTGATGATAAAAAGAATATTGATTGCAAATAAATCACCGTCTCTAAACGCTTGTAAATAATTTGTGTTTGCACTGCTCAGATCAAAGTAAAACTTATGAGATAAAGTATCGGCATACACATATTCTGTAGTGCGTGGACCACTTTTCATTTCGGAGTTCAAAGGCTCTCCTAATAGAAGTCAGTATTTTATATAATTATCCTACAATATTTGGGGGGCATGCCACATTTTACAGTATTTTTGTCCGTATTGAACCATTCGAAACTGTGTTCTTATCTCTCCTTTCACGTCAGCTCCTTTTAAAGACAAATCCGTGGCCAAATAAAAATGCTCTGGTTGTATTGGTAATATTCTCTTGGTTAATTTGCAGATAATTACAGTGGCGTGCGCAGGCATTAGTTTGTACCTGGTTTAATAACTGTGTTTTCCTGCCAGATTATTTCGGCGACGCATTAAATTGCCTCGTCGAGACAAATGTGAATTACTGCATTTCCATCGTTCGATTTGGCTTGGTTTGCAGAGAAAATGCGCGCGGTGTTTAGCAGCCCCCAGCTTAGTCCATCTCTTTTCCTTTCTCTGCAAGGAGGGGAGATCTTTTGGGAATACCTCTGTCTGATCTAAACGTAAAGAGCCTGGAGCGGGGAGGGCCGAATCTGACTGTGAAGACCCTTTGCACTGTTCACAGGCATATTCCGGCTGCCGGAGTAGGCTATTCAAACCTGTTAAGAGACGCTAACGAGATAATTGAGGGTTTTTTTTTTTTCTTCCCTTCTTCCCTCTCCGCTTGTCTGAATGTGTTGCAGGGCTCCCAGTACGAGCTCAAAGATAATCCGGGCGTCCACCCTGCCACCTTTGCTGCCCACACTGCCCCTGGCTATTATCCCTACGGACAGTTCCAGTATGGGGACCCTGGGCGGCCCAAAAACGCCACCCGAGAGAGCACCAGCACCCTCAAGGCCTGGCTCAACGAGCACCGCAAGAATCCCTACCCCACTAAGGGCGAGAAGATCATGCTGGCCATCATCACCAAGATGACCCTCACCCAGGTCTCCACCTGGTTCGCCAACGCCCGCCGGCGCCTCAAGAAGGAGAACAAAGTGACCTGGGGCTCCAGGAGCAAAGATCAAGAAGATGCCAACCTTTTTGGGAGTGACAATGAGGGGGACCCGGAGAAGAATGAAGACGATGAGGAAATTGACTTGGAGAGCATAGACATAGATAAAATCGATGAGAATGATGGGGAGCAGAGCAATGAGGAAGAGGAGGAGAAGCCCGAACTCCTTAGACAAAGCATTGAAGAGGAACACTTGGACAAAGATAAAGATGTGACACTGTCAGGTCCTGAAGCGCTGAAACCCAAAGATACAATGGCCATGGTAAAGGAGTCCTCTGACACACGAATCTTAAGCCCCAGTGGACAGAACAATCTACAGATGCCATCTCTCACCAAACCCAAGATTTGGTCTTTGGCAGAGACTGCAACAACTCCTGATGGTGCCCTGAAATCATCTCCTCCTCCACCGCCTACTCCCCAGGTTAACCACACTTCCCCACAGATCCAGCATCCTGCTTTTCTTCCTAGCCATGGACTCTACACATGCCAGATTGGCAAATTTCACAACTGGACAAATGGGGCTTTCCTCACCCAGAGTTCCCTGCTAAATGTGAGGTCCTTATTGGGAGTAAACCATCACCATGCTGTTCATCACAACCACCACCTCCAGGCCCAGCAGCAGCCTTCTGTTTTAACAGCAACCCTGGGAGCCCTAGGCAGTGAAAAACCTTCAGAGAGGACGAGTCCCAAACACATAGGTAATGCACCATACATAGATGACTCCCTGTCTCACAAAGTAACCGCACACTTACAAGTGCACAGGCACACACACACATGTACACACAAACTTCTCCCTGAGGAGCAAGGTCGGATTCAGCCTCGGTGTAAATGTTTGCTTTTAATGGAATTACAGATCATTTACTCTACTGTTGAATTTCTCTCCTAGAGTGCTGATTGCTCGCATAAGGTCCATTTCATGTGGAATATTGCATTCTCAACCTATATGCCCCTCACACAACCTAAGAATGCAGGAATAGTGCTGTGTAACATATCAGTGAGTTTTGTTTTCTTTCCTTCCTGACTTTCATCTTTAAATCATTTCAAAGACAGTTCCAACTCTGGAAAGAAAAGCTTGCATTTTCTTTAAGTATTAAGGACACAGACATAGCATAGAATAGTGCTATATATACATATGCAAGTACATGCACATCTGAACAAGAGGAGAGTGAGGTATTTTTTCTGCACATTGCATAGGTTTTTAAAAATTTATTTATTATTTTTATTGTTAATCTAAAATGCTTTTCCTGTTTTGTTTTGTCTTATTCCAGAAAGGGAAAATATGCCAAGAACTGAATCCCCACCTCAGCCACTCAAATCGCCTTTCCAGCCTGTTCGTGACAAGTGAGTTTGTTTGTTTGTCTTCACTGCAGGAATGTTACTTATGTGACACAGAGAGTTTGAATAATAAAAACTAATTATATCACCTAATCATTACCATAATCATACATACAAACAACAGGAGCAACATAAAAGATGCTATACTCTTTCAATAATTAGGCTAAATTGCAATTGTACATAGCCAGCCTGCAGCTTTTCTGAGACATAGCAAGCCTCAAAATAATTTGTTAATCACACTAGCAAAAATGATTTCTGTGCATTGAACTAATATTAGGATATTATAGCACTAGACAGGAGATAATTAAAAAAAAAAAGATTCTTTTTTTTTTACTGAAAGACTGTTATGTCTTCTTTTTTTCTTCCCCTTCCCCCCTGCAGTTCTTTGGCTCAGCAAGAGGGAACACCGCGAATTTTAACGGCTCTCCCTTCTGCTTGATTAAATGGTTTGGTGAAAAAATAATACAGAGACTGATACTAAGAACAGAAAGAAAAGGTAAAAAAAAAAAAGAAAAAAAAGAGAAAAGAAATGATATAAACGACTCTCATCAATCTCTTTTTGCAATAAGGTGGTGCAAATCCATAAAAGCGATTACACAAATCTGTAGATGGATCCCCTTCTTCATTGTACCATTTCAGATCGTGTTATTCTAACATTTCTTGGATTATTTGTTTGGTAAATGTTTCCCATGTATTTGTGTTTTTTTTCTTCTTTTTTTTTTTCTGTATATAGAGTAATTTCAAATTGTAAATAGCGCGTCAGCAAAACTTGTCTAAATCATATATTTTTGTCTAATAAACTAAATGAAACTATGAACTCTCCTCAGATATGTATTCTGTTGTTGCAAATCTTAAACACATATTACAAATCTATTCAAACGTTGTTGCTTTCTAAGGCTTTTCTTAAAAAAAAAAAGTCTTTTTTTCTTTTTTTTTTTCTTCCCGCCTTTGGGTAACTGAACTTTTAAATACTGAATCCGGGTTTCTTATGACCTGTTTTCTCAAAATCAGTTTGCCAACTTTCCTTTTCATACACATAGATTTAACAACCGAGCAACTGAGGGAAGCTGACTGACAATTTGTTTTGTTATTATTCTGATAAATCAGACTTTTTTTTTGAATATAAATGGCTTGGATTTCCAGTTACCTTAAACAACAGCTTCTTGGAAAAGAAAAGGGGACTTTTTTCTCAGCTCCCTAGAGTATAACTTACTTTCTAAACCTTTTGTGCTTTATCTTACTTTTTGATCAAAGATGGAAAAACAAATAGACTAGGATTATTTGTAAGCATTTACTTTCAAAATAAATGCCGAGAAAATATGACCCTAAAACAACTTTCCGATGAGAAGAAGTAAAATCTTAGCAGAAAAATGACAGTTATTGCACTTTGTAGAAGAAAGTTCTAAGATTCCATTATGTTGGTTTAAAAGCGGCCGGCAGAGAGAATGTGTCGTTTTATAAAGACATTAATTTGCCAAAGACATTCCGTTAAAATGTGTAATATTTTGAATGTTTTGCCTTTTTTTTTTTCCTCCTAAATGAGAACACTAAACGAGCATTGAGGTGCTAATAAGATACCAGATGGTTGTTGATGATAGAAAATGGAAAGAAGCAGCTGGGAAAGTCATTAAGAAATAATGTGGTGACGCCCTATCCAAACTGAAACAACCTCAAACCAGGACCTGTCGGAAACAAGATGAGATTTTCAAATAAAATATTAATAAAATTCTTGTCAGAGATTAGAATATTGATCTTGATTTAACTGCAGAAGCATTGCAAGTACAGACAGATTTAGGTAAGATCTGCTGACAAAGCAGTGAAGATGGTAGACATCTATTTTCGCAGTATTTTTTTTTTCCAGATGGATCTGATGAAATAGAATTGCGCGGGATATCTGAAAGGCTGAAATAAACATGGTATTACGTTTACCATAAAAGACCCATTTTGACATCCTGCATGTTTCTAGCATAACATCTATTAGTTTTCTTTAAGGCTCTTAGTTAATTTCCTTCTCCTAAATCGCAGAAAGTCCCATACTGGTAACTGTCCCAACACACGAGCATGCTACAACTTTAAATAAACTATAATAACGTGTCTTTCAGAGAGAGAGAGAAAAAAAAATCTGTAAATACGATCGGTGCATCAGATCAGTACTAGAGTGAACTTGACCGATTTTTTTTTCTTTCACATTATTTTAAATTAAAGTTCCCCCCTCTCGCTTCCTTCAGGCCTGATTTCCAAATTCCTTGCTATCGGTACATCTGGCACGGAGGAGCGCGGCAATTCAGGGTGTCGCCGGCGTGCCGGATGGGGCCGCGCTCCGCTGTCCACTTGTCTTTCGCGAATTGGCATCTTTCCTTTAAAAGGAAAGATTACATTTTAAAAAGCACACAGTGCTGCTCTGTGAGGCTAAGCAAACATGCTGATGCCAAATTGGCCTGGGAGGAATGGGGTAACCCCGCGGCGCGCTAACACACCGAGCGAGCCGAGCTATGCAGAGGGAGGG